CGCCGCCACGCTCCCAAGCGGCGCACTCTCCAGTGCGCCACCGGGCCGGCCCGCTTTCAACACATTTTTAAGTGAGCAATACTGTATTGTTCTTTGTCAGATATTTTAAGAAAAAAAAAACTTATCAGTAAAATATACCTTCAAATCATATGGAAATAATAAAGATTCTCTACAGAATCAATTTATAAGGTAGGTCTTGTTGAATTGCAAGTGACAAAAGCTCAGCAGAAATGCAGAAATCGACCTTAAGCAGTATTTATTGTTTCAAAAAAAAAAGAAAGGTCAAGGGATGAGACTTGTTTAAGGCAATGTCAAAATCATAGTTCAAGTACTTTTTTAAAAAATGAAACTTTTACTTTAGAATAGTTTTAGATTTACCAGGAAGTTGCAAAGATAGTATAAAAAGTCCCTATATACTCATGTCCAGTTTTTCCTGCTATTAATATCTTACATTAATATGTTAGATTTGTCCCATCTCATCACCAGTACTGACACATTATTATTAATTAGAGTCCATATATCAGATGTCTTCAGTTTTTACCTAATGTCCATTTCTTTGTTCTAGGACCCCAAATTTCATTTAGTCATCATGCCTCTTTAGGTGTCTCTTGGCTGTGACAGTTTCTCACACTTTCCTTGTTTTCGATGATGTTGACAGTTTTGAGGAGTGCTGGTAAGGTACGTTGTAGACAGTCCCTCAGTTGAGATTTGTCAGGTGTCTAATCATGATTAGTCCGGGGTTATGAGTTTTAGGGAGTGAGACCACAGAGTTGAAGTGCCATTTTCATCCGATCATTTCAAGGGTACATGCTGTGAACATGATTTACCACTGCTGATGTTAATCTCACCTGGCTGGGGGAGTGTTGGTGAGCTTTTTCCACAGTAAAGTTGGGCTTTCCCGCCCTTTCTACATTGTGCTTTTGAGAAGGAACTCACTAGTGTAGTGCACACTTAAGGAGTGGGAAGTTATGCTCCTTCTCCTGGAATGTGGAGTATCCACATAAATTATTTGAAACTTCTCTTCACAGATTTATCCATTTTCCTTCATTCCTTCCTATATTTATTTATTCAATCATTTATTCAATCACTTATTTGTATTTGTATGGATTCATAGTTATTTTATACTTTGATTTATACTCCAATACTTCTTTATTCATTTTTGTTGCTCAAATTGTCCTACTTTGCTTATTGAGAGCTTTCATGTCCCTTTGATATATTCCTCTCATTGTGAGATTTTTAGTTGGGAAAACTTTTTTGCTTTCTGGCACCATAAGATTCTTCAAGGTGATCTTGTATATTCCCAACTCAGCCCTAAAATCAGCCATTTCTCCAAGGAGGCCCCATTCCATTTCTTGGAGAATGATATTAAAAACCAAGATCAGGGTGCTAGGGGTGCTCATTGCTATGGGGTGTTATTGCTTCTACACCCTCTCAGCTGACAGAGCAAAGAAATATATATATCTGATTATATTAAAGGTTTAAGTGATTTTATCTGGGTTCATGTTTTCTCTGTCTTCACTCAGGTCCTCCATGTTGATTCAATTCTTAGATAGAAATTTTCTTCATACATGCAAGGTAGAACTTAAATCCTGAACTTAAGTCCCAAGTGACAGAGTAATACTATCTTTGCCAAAATTCCCAGTAAATTCCTACCAAATCTAATCTAGGTCATTTTAGGACATATGCCAACTCCAGAACTGATCACTGTAGGCAAGACAAATGAGATGTTCCTTTGGGTTAAGCCTCTGTCATGTGTTCCTCTACAGAGACAAAGGATTGACTCTGTTTGAACCACAGGAGCTAAGAACATGAGAGAAATGGATTTTCAAATGATTGCTAGTTTAAAAGGGAAAATATATTCTATATGGTTGAAAAGTGATAATTTTCCATCAAAGTCAATTACTACTACTTCTATGAATTCAGAAATTCTAAAATTGGCTGCCACTTACTGTGAAGTTTTGAAAGAAAATAAGATAGCCACTTTTATAAAAGATGCATCAGTGAATGGCTTGGGCTCTATCCACAGCAAGTAACTTCTGAAAATTGAATAGTACTTTACTATATCCTTGCATATGAGTATTTTTTGCTTTGAAACTAAAAATGTGAAGAGTGCATCCATTGTCAGATTCCTTTCTGGTTTTGCTTTTAAAAATAATTTCACTTTTACACAAATGTAGCATTTAGACGGGGAGGAGATAAAATTTGTTGTCCTTTGTGGTTGCTGCTTTATTTATATTGTCTTATTGGCTTTCCTTATTTACCTCTTTCAGGAACACATTCAAAGGGAAAGTAGACAGTTTTCTGTTCATTCATTGAAATATTAAGACACTTTTTTCCCACTTCAAGGAAGTTTATAAAATACATTAAAAAGAAAATATTACAGAATGAAAATGGATTATAAATCAACCCGCTACTGTAATAGGAAGTTTCTGTTTTCTCTTAGTAAGCCTGTCACAACCTCTTTTTAATTAAAGTAGCAATTAACAGAATAAGAATTCACATGTAAACTGTTTATTTTCAAATTCATTCCTTGCAAAGACATACTAGTTTTAAGATATTAGCAGTCACCACAAATAGTTGGATAACATTTTTATTAGAAGGTAATTATTATTTTATGGAAATATTTGTTAAATTTTTTTCTTTGCTTTTATTTCATTGCTTTTAAAAATATTGCTCATCTATTGCAGAGACAAAAAGTTTTACAAAATAAAATGTTACAGTTGCTCCTAATTTGAATTTTTAAAAGCACTGTTTCTTAGGACCCTGTGAAATGTGTTTCAAGTTGTAGTTGAGGCACATATATCTTGGGTGACTCCTAAATTCGAAATCTATGAAGTGGACATAATCAAATTGGTAACTCTGAATTAAAACTTTGGTTATTTGGAAACTTTATAGAATTAGACTTACAGACTATTATTATTATTATGGTTATTATTATGTAAGGAGTGTAGTTAATGTTACTTCTTTGAGTTACAAGATTTCTCTTTTGGAGTTCTTTTGATGAGAATCTTTCCCACTTCTTTACCTTAAGCAGTGGATTCTGGCTATAATTTTTTTTTTTTAGACTCGTTTTTTGAGTGCTTAGTACTTCTAAAAATATTTAAGTTTTATCTTAAACTGTTCTTGTATATTTAAGTTCCTTACAAATATAATATCCAATTTGGGCGTGGTATATTCACTGAACATTTTAAGCAGATTTTATTAACAATAACTTATTGAAAACATCCGATACATCAGCCATAGTGATAAGTACTTTTTGCATATTTCGTTTCCTGTACTCTTTTTATTTTAGTTAAGAAGGCATTGAAATCTCTGTTTTAGGGAACAGGAAACAGGTCTCAGAGAGTTTAAGTTAATTAAGGTCATTCAGAAGAGCCAAGATACAAACCTACCTGTAGAAGATAATATACTACATTTAAAAACTAAAAAAAAAGAAGAGCCATTGTATAGATTAAAAAAAAAAAAAGTAAACATTAATTGTTCTGAGAGACCTTGCTCCATGTTTCTCACATGCTCTTACCAGTACTGCTGAGTTTGCCAAAAATGCAAGGCCCTGACTACTCCTTATCCAGGTCATTTCTCGGGGCTTGGTTTACAGGAAACAACCTTGAGGGATGAGGTAATGCCTCTTTCTGAAACAAAGAGCAGACTTTCTCTAAAAGGAATAAAAACCTTACTCTTGAATTTCCAGCCTCGCATAATTGTTCCTTGCATTTAATGAGTACTCAGGATATGTTTGATGTGAGAAGTCAAGGACAAAGAATAAGTTAGTAAAAGTATAAATACCAGGAATAAATTCTCCAACTATTATGTCTAATTGTGACCCTTGATTATTCTAAAATACAAAACAGACCAATTAAATTTAATAGAAATATAGCTAACATTTCTTAGTGTCTACTATGTGCCTGGTAAGTTCTTAATGTTTTATGTTGTTTTACTGCTGGCAACAACACTGAGGTAAGTAAATATTATTATCTGCATTTTGCAAATGAGGAAGCAGAGGCCCAGAGGAATTAAGTAGTCTGCCCAAGGTTTCATAATAAGTGGTGAAACCAGGCTCTGAATGAAGCCTTTCTGGCTCCAACACACAGGCTCTCAATCACCTCCTTGGGAATTTACCACTATTTTTCGTAATAAATGGGAGTTTTTATAGAGTCACTGTTTAGCATCCAATTTTCATAAAGAAATGTAGAATGAAAAAGAATCTGAAAGGGTCTTGAAGATGCTTCTGATACATACACAATGTAAACCCGAGGAAGACCCTGCCGTAGCAATAGGACTACACATGATTGTGCAAATATCATCTATTATACATTATGTTAGGGCCGTTTGTAGCTCATAATTTTTATCTTGGCAAGAATCAGTGCTACAAATAGTATTCCAAGTCACTGTGTATGAAACCAAAGTCAAAATAAATGTCCACATAAATGCATTAAGGATCCCAAGAAAGGAATTATCTAAGGTGATCCCCCTAGTTGTTTATTGTAAGGGTCTGAGGAGCGTCTGGTAGCTTCCCTGGGTCAGTCTCTCTCAGTTATGATTTCTAGGACATTTTTTTTCCTTTCCTTTCCGCCCCGCCCCTCTTCTTCAGGCAATGAGTATCTTCCTTTTTTCTAAAAGTTTTTCCTGGGAATACTTGGGGCTCTAAAACATCCAAAATTCAGAGGCTGACAATAGGCATGTGAGAACCAAGAGAAAGGCAATTTAGAAAAGAAAACGAAGAAAGAAAGAAATGATAGGGTCAAAGTGAAAGAAAACCAAGATGCCTCGGCAGGCAAAATGTAATCCAGGCCAAATGTGTCCTTCATCTTGTCCACTCCGGGGAGCTGCGTCCTGAGTTCTCGGGGTAACTAAGCAACTACGTTGCCATGGTAACCGGGGAAGCTCCGAGGACACCAACACCTCGGGCTCTGGGCAGCTCTTCCGCACCCCTGGGCTAGCCTGAGGGGAGGGGGAGAGAGGGTGTTGGGATCTCGCGAGAGCTGCGTGGGGCCTTGGGAAGCGTCTTCGCTGTTCCCTTACGGACGGCGGTGGGCCGGTGGGGGGCGGGGGCCCGGTGCCCCACAGATGGCTGCTCAGCAAGAGCTGCACAACCCCGCTCTGCGGGTCCTGGAAGAAGCGTTGGGCGTGGGTTTGGGGGACGCCGGGGACGCGGCGGACGGGGTGGCCGCCGAGGGCGCCTACTACCTGGAGCGTATCCTTCCCGTGTGGGCGCGGCCTGCAGGTGCCGGCCGCGGGGACCGTTTGGGGGGCGAAGGCGGGGGCTTCCCACGTGGGGGCCACCGGGCCGGCCGAGCGTCTGTGGGACCTGAAGGTGGCGTCGTGGCCAGCGCGGTTCCCACTGAATCTCTCGCCTTTAGGAGTGAAGGCAGCTCCGTTCCTTTCAGAAGAGTTGGGAGACTTTCCAGGGCCTCGTCCATAGTAACCGCTCAATAACTTTTGAATGGAGGGTTGTTTTTTATGTTAACGCGGCACAGATTGATTCAAACCCTTCTTTCGCTTAATGGTTTTCCTAAAAAAGCCCTCAGGCTTTCAGCATACCTTGGCAATGAATTCAATCGGGGAACATTAGGAGACGAGTAAGACCTCTGCCATTGGGCTTTACCCCCATGGGCTCCGAATACCCACCCCATGATCCTGTAGATGGTCCCATTTCCAGTGCTTAAATGATTTGTTTCGGTAGCATCACCTTCTTGGGTAGTTTCAAGTTGGCCATTTAATAATAACAATTAAGTAATAATGGCTTCAGCACTCCCCCTTCCCCGCCCCCGCCTGAGCAAATAAACGATGATCTGGTGAGCTGACAAGGCTCAGAGATGTTAAGAAGAAAGCAGGTAGTGATGAGCAGTTATTAAGGGAAATACCAGAAAAATTGCATAACTATATGTGGGTAACTAGGTCCACTATTTCTTGTGTAAGATTTTAGAGCTCCTCTCCTCTAGGTATATAGATTAATCATAGTAGAGAGAGGGGGAGGGTTCGTGAAAAGACATCCACTCCTTTCTTTCTACAGGCAGGTAGAAGAGAGATAGTTATGTTTTATTCTTAAAGATATCAAGGAAATTCCAAAATCTCCCTTATCTTATTTTTCTTGTTCAGCTATAATCCGCCCAGATTTAATTCAAGATTTCGGAGATACATCGATGATTCATTTTGTGAGCGTTGGCAGGCCATTAACCTGTCCTGACTGAGGCTTAGTACGTGTCCATGCTACAGGGAGAGTTGAAGAATTTAGTTGAAAGATTAGAGAAAATATGCAGTATTTTATTGGGTGCAAAAATGATTTTTACAGGAAATAAATTAGAAGAGTTTGAAATCAATTTGAATGAAATCTATGGATGCTTTAGTGTAATAAATGAGATTTTGTACTCTGTTTTTGTAGCTCTAACAGGTTGTCTTATTTTCTTTTTAAGTTCAAAAATGATTCAGGTCTTTTTTTTTTTTTTTTTTTTGAGCTTTTGTACATCAATTATAAAGTTGTCTACTGTTCTTCTAGTGAATGGTAACCAGACATCTTGTCATTTTTGTTTGCATTAAAATGATTTCTCTTAATACATAGTTTAATTGTTAACATGAGACTAATACCATGAGGTAACATTTTGTGAACGTCTTTGTGAAATAAATGGTAGGATTCCAACATAAGGCAACTTTCAGCAATGAAAATCAGGTTTAGTTAATTTGCGCGGAGATCACTGAGTCACAACTGCCAACATGTAGCAGTTTGCAAGGTTGTCTCCTGAAGACTTCTTCAAATAATCCTATTTGCAAAGATAAGCAACTGCAATTGTTCAGGTTTTTATTCTGCAGTTTGTGAATTATCTTGCCCCTTTCCTCTTCCATTTCTTTTTTGGTTGACTGATTACTATTTTTTTGTTTCAATCAAAGGGTAGTTAGGGGATAGTAACATTAAACATTTAACCAGTCAATTTTGCTATATTCAGTGTTTAGGGGAGAGGTTTAGTCATGGGAGAGGCTTTAACTCTTAGTTAAAATGAAAGTTTGAGGATTACTTGTGAATGCCAATTATCCCTGTATCCCTGGGCTCTCTTCACATGCATAATTAAGAGTTGGCTGTATAATGTTATTTGACATTTTTTCTTAAGGCAATTATGATAGTTGACGAAGTGAAACTTTCTTGGATTTAAAGTCTTTAGCTTTCAGGTAATTTAACTGAGCTACTGCAGTGGATAAATAACAGTTATAATATTCACAAATGAGTCAGAAATCTGATGTCCCCTACTTTGCGCATATACTTAATCATTTCTAATCTACTGCATTTGGCCCTGGACTTCCCTTTTTATGACTGAACAGATTCTCCTAGTACACTAAACAACAAGCTATCATATCAAGTAAGGCTATGAAGGAGGTTGCCTTGAATTCTACAGGAAATCACCCACTTTTCTGCTCTCAAACATTCAAGTACAAAGAGCATGAATAGACCAATGTGGCCCAAACCAGAAATATAGTCAGGGACCACCATGAGGGGAATGCTTTCATGAATAAAGGCCCCATGTTCTTTATAATAATTTGGAGAATGTGTTCAGGAGAAAGAATTTAACTCTTCTAACACCACTTCCCTGTAATTTCCTAGCTGTAACAGTGCCACTTATTTTCTTCTGACGAACTTTAAAATATCAATGCTGTCATGTCGTAAATTTCCACAAGGTAAGATACAAACAAACATGAAATAGTTCTTATCTTATTTAGCTTTCATCGGAGCTTTAAGGAATCTAATAATGGAGTACACGAATCCTCTGTAGAACTTTTCATTGGAAAAATAGTGAAATACAAGACTAGATTTTAACTATGTGATATTTTAAAAGGCCAAGTAAGTGTCTGCAGAACTTGGAAATAGGGTTAATTGTCTTTTATGAAAGAATCCTCTATAAGAAATCAATATAACTTGGGTGAAGTTTTAAATTATAGTGGTGACTGGGGCTACATATTAATGTGTGGCTGTGGACATTTGGGAAATGCCCAATTCCAATTGGGAGATGCAGGGCTGCAATGAATTTTTACTAAGAAAGCTATAAAGGTTAATTGATTTTGTTGTTATCTAAAGAAAGGCCTTGTTCAAGGAAGAGTAATGGAATGTATGGACCCTAGGGTAGTGGAGCCCTCAAAGTATTGTTTTGGTTACCTGCCTCCTCTACACAGACTCTCTGCTTTCCTAATTAGCTTTTGATTATTTCATCCTTCTGGGCATCCTAACTGTAAAGATTTGGCTGCCTAGATTGTGGATGTAAGTTTGCTGGCTACCGACAAGCTCTCTCCTGCCCCCAGCAGCATTTCTGAGGACTGAGTGAGTTTAAGTCAGTCCTTTGAGGCTAATCAGCACTGGACTCAGTGCCAAAGTCAACTGTTTATAAAACAGCAAAATTAAGGATCCCAGAGCCTGAAATATGGAGATCACACTAGGCTGATGACCCATCTAAGATGCATGCTTGTCTTCTTAAGTGACATCTCTAGCCAATCTTTTACTGTAATAGTTATGTTCACTGATAACTTTGTTTAATTAAAATCAAAGTTTTGTCATTTTTGTTTTTTAGTTTTTTTTTTTTTTTGTAAAACTGAACATTGTTGTAGCTAAGTGAAAAGAATCAGAAAGTCAGATGTGTAGATTTTTTTTCTTTTCTTTCCTTCTCTTTTCTTTTACTAGTCATTATCTTAGATAAATGTTATAATCTCTTTTCTGTTATAAAATGATTCTTCTCTGAGATGTTTGTAGTATTAAGTGAAAAGACATTTGTAAAATCCTTAATAATCATTATGTACTCAAATAGTATATTTCTTTTTATCAATGAAACACTTAATTTTTTTATGGGTGCTTAGATATTAGAATATATGTACCCTATATATATTCAAACAAAAAGGACAGACAACATGAGAATGGAAATTTAGACAAAGAGCCATGTTCTTAAATCACTGTGGATCTCTAAATGAAGATTCTAATCTAATAAATCTGTGTGGGACTGAGATTCTGCCTTACTAATAAGCTCCTAGGTGATGCTGGTGCAGCTCATCTGAGTACAATAATTATAGTAGCAAGCCTGCAGACAAATATTTTAACCTTTAGTCTTTATATTTTCAGATAGAAGTATAGTATGTAGAGCCCATATCTTTGGATTTCCTGGCTTAGAAGTTGGAAAGACTGATACCACCACCCACCAGGAGAACTAAGAATCTTAAATGTTAAAAGAAAGTTATATTTTAGCTTCTGAGGAGGAAGATATGCAATAGCTATTTAGTGGATGGAGTGGCCAATAAATTTCCACTGTGGCCAATAGTGTTGAATTGGTAGTGGCTCCCTGGTATGTGGTGTTAGTAACAATTCTGAGACTTCATGAAGACTAGGTGGTAAAGACTGCAGGGAGAAAACAGCCATAGAGAAAGTGACAGCAAGCATACCAGTTATTTACCCTCTTTGGTCTGTATTATTCAGTTAACTTACTTTATTTAAACTGGCATTCCTAAGAAAGGGAACATGACTATGATATTTGCTACTTCTATTTCAATTTAGTAAGTAAAATGTTGATCTTGGAGGATCCAGGCTAGATTTTAGATTGCCTCTGTGTACATCGGCTCTGTAGAGATGGCAAAGATTACAGAGTGATTTCTGGATATGGTTGCTTTGGGAAATCATGTAAAATATAATTAGCTATATGTTTCACTTCACTTCTTTATAAAGGTGCTGCTCCCGGCAGTGATCACTACCTACAAATGCAGCAGTGTGAGGAACTTTCTATGCTGCTGACATCTGAAAATTGTTCATTGGTTTCTGGCTCTGGTCCATTTGCAGGACATTACTTGTGACCCCCTCATGCCAACTGTCACCTCCAGCTCTGCTTCATTAGGCCAGCTGATATGCTTCTCTGAGGCTTCTAGATGTTGTGTCTTCTGTAGTACTGGGATGGGGTTAGGGGTCCCTGGCAGTTTCAGTGTGGGTATTGTATTGGCCTATTTTCTGATAGGATCTACAGTGTTAAGGTCTGGTGAAGATTTTTTTTTTTTTTTGTCTTTTTTTGTCTTTTTCCGTGTCCAGCAACGGATCGCAACCCTCAGTGTCGCCCCCGCACCGGACCAGGGACCGGCAACGGGATCACAACCCTCGGTGCTGCTCCCGCGCCTCGCTCAGCCAGTGAGCGGGAACCGGTCCGTATGTGGGATCCGAACCCTCGGGCGGGAGCGCTGCCG